GGGGTCCGGTCCCTTCTCCTGCCGCCCCTTCCCACCCCCCCGCCCACATATAACAAAAAAAACCCGAGGAAAGAATAGCTCTAATTTCTCCCTTTCCCTCCATAAAAGCATCGGATTAAACTCCTAATAATCACACGCAGAGAGAAATAATGATGTCACGCAGCATAAACACTCCTCTTCGGCCCCAGTCAATCCCGGCGAAACTGGGAGCAGCCCTTCCAAATAACTGTATTAATAGCAATGTAATGTTCTCTGTCTACTTAAGAGACAGGAAGAAAACACCGACTTTAAAAAGACCAGGAAATTCTGTTCGCTAAAAGAAAACAGGAGGCTTTGAGGGGAAGTGATTTGAAACTGCTGCGTGGATATTAAAAGGATAGGAAAAAAAACAACCCCCAACTTAAATTAAAAAGGGAGTTGTTTGCTGGATAATAACCCGAACTCCGCTGGCCTGAAGGTAGCAGGCCTGTAAAAGCTTTACGGGCACGAGAAATAGGATCCAGGAGCGTCAGCAATCGAGTGCAGATGGACAATTTGATCTCTCCCGAGCTCCGGAGCCGAACGCGGGGAGGAATGCGGGGGGAACGTCTGTCTCCTCTGCAGAGGAAATCATATCCCAGTTTAACTTTTCTCGCAAACCAGTGGCTTTGGAACTGCCTCTTTGGGCTATTTCTGATGGGATTTCCACCCCGCTTTGGCATCAAAGCCCGACGGGTTCTCTGAAGTCCCCTCTGCTTTGGGGACCTTGAGCAAATCGCAGCTGATTGGGGCAAATCTCGGCAGCCCAGGGCGGGTCGCGCCGTGTCCGCCCGGGGGTTTCTGGTTTTCCTCCACAAATGATCCCTCCCCCCGTCCAAAGGGAAAAAAAACCCCCAAACCACAACGAAACCAAATAGAAAAGAACCCCCTTCTCTGCAGAAAAGGGAAAGGGGAGAGCGAGGAGAATCACCGCAGGATTCAAAAGAAAACACTCAGCTCTGGCACCGCCAGGGTTGAGATTTGTTGTTGTTGTTGTTTTGGAAGGGGGTTCATTCCATCCCTGGGTAACACAAACCAAACCAAACCGGGCGTTTTTAAGGCCGAGGGGATTTTGTATCTATGGAGGGCTGTTTTTCTTGGAGCTGGGGAATTGTTCTCCAAGCGACGTTTGTTTTACTTGGGTTTTTAGCGGTCTCGGGCGGTGGGTTTTTTTTTTTTTGTTGTTGTTGTTAACTGCGGGTTTTTGTTTACTTCGCCCCCACCCCCCGTTCCTCCCACGCTGAGCAAAAGAGGGTGATTTCTTCTGGCCCCGAAAGATTCAGGTTTTAGATCCGAAGCCGCGGACGGTTACAAAAGAAAAACAACCCACAAACCACCAAAACCCACCCCCGGCTCCTGCGAGGGTGGAAGGAGGGAGAACAGCCGGTTTGGGGGAGTTTGTTTCGCTGTCTCGGGGCTCAAGCACGGCAACGTGTTGGGTTTTTTTTCTACCCCACAACCCCCCTGATCCCCCCCGGCCTGGGCCCCCCGCTGGGGTTGGGGATCCCACAGGGGACACGCGTGGAGGAGGGAGGGAGACGCGCCCCTTGGCTGTGGAATTGCCGAGCACGGTCGCTCTGCTCCTCTCCCCCTCACCCCCTCCTCCTCCAAATCCGGAGCGGGTTAAAATGTATTTTCTAGGAAAAAGAAAATTAAAAGAAAAGAAAAATACAACTAAACTGCCGGTGGGTCGATGGGCCCGAGCGGGGCCGCGCAAAACGGGCACCCGCGGAGGCCGCGCGGGAACGAAGCCGCCGGGG